CGCAAGCGGCAATGCACTGCCGATACAGGAGGAGCTCGACCATGAGAAACCTTCCACAAGCAACCCAACCCCGAGACCCCAGGACGCCCGTTGATGTTTGGTGTGGGAACGTCACGCTCTCCGTAGCAGAACCTCCGTAGCAAAACCATCGAATCCCAAGAAACCCAGGGCACCCTGGGGCAAGCAGGGTGTTTCTTGGCATGGGTTTCCACTGTAGATTGCCGAGCGGCCCCCGACAGTGCAGCCGCGCGCTCCTGGGACACGACAACAATCGGTCTGAAATTCGGCGCGAGCTCCCGCTGCAAAACATCCCACCAGAACTGTGCCATCAGAACACAGGACGGGCTCGTCAAAAAGCGTCGGCAAGCCCGAGTGACGGCGAACTCGAGTCTCACGTTTCCCCGACCCAGGCCAGTCCCCACTGTCGTTGCCCCTTCATCAGCGCAACTGCTGCGAAAACTCTCAAGACCAGAAGTGGCGAGGAGGCCTCAGGCGAAACGCCCGGCCTGTCCTACTGACAAGTCTGGTGGGGCGACAAGGAGGAGTTACCCAACCCTCGGATGTCTTGTTTTCTAACTACGGGGTTCCCCGGAGCTCTGGACCACCTTTCTGGGGACTGAGTGTTCGTCCCCTGATCCGCCGACCCCCGCTTGCCGGGAGCGAAGAAGTATGTGAAACATTTGGCTGTACCCCCTTTCTCCCGATGGTCCAAAATCCCGTTCTAGGGGGGTCGACGAAGACACCGTAGGAAGATGGACGACGAGGGACGAAGAATAACAGTAGCGACGACGACGACCGACGGCCGATCACAAACCGACGACGGACGGCGACGACCGACGCAGAACCACGACGGACGACGAACGACGACGGTCGACCGCGACCACAACCATGACGACGACGACGACCTACGACGACGACGACGATGACGACGACGAACGACCGACCGACCGACCGACCGACCGACCGACCGACCGACCGACTGAACGAACGAACAAACAAACAAACAAACAAACAAACAAACAAACAAACAAACAAACAGACAGACAGACAGACAGACAAACGAACGAACGAACGAACGAACGTCGACGACCAGAACGACCACGACCACGACGACGACCACGACGAGGACCACGACGAGGACGAGGAAGAGGACGACGACGGCCCCCGAAGCCCGCCAGACGTGCCCGGAGGTCCCGTCGAATTGCCCGGAAGTGTACCTCCTGAGGCCTCTGGACACTCCGAAAGCCCCCGAAGATCCCGACGGTCGAGCCTCGAACCTCGACCTCCTCGACCTCGAATCTCGAACCTCGAACTCAGAGCCACAAACCTCGAACCTCGAACCCTCGAACCTCGAACACCGAGCCACGAACCTCGAACTTCGGAAACTCGAGCCTCGAACCTAAACTAAACCTGGAACCCTGGAACCCTGGAACCCTGGAACCCTGGAGCCTCGAACCTCGAACCTCGACCTCAAAGCTCGGACACTGAACCCCGAGGATCGAACCTCGAACCTCGACCGCCGACGACGACGGCCAACACGACGACGTTGACGGCGCCTGACCAACGAACAGACCGACTGACTTGGAGGCGGCCAGGGGGTCTGAGCTGGCTTTGGGCCGAGAAAAAATCGGTCAAGAGAAGGGGGGGGCGGGCACGAAGGCAAAATATGCCAGAATCGGTCGTTGGACCCTTCCGGGGGTCCCTCTGGTGCAGCATTACACCCCGGGTCCGTCTTCGACGGCCCCCGGTCCCGACAGCAGCGTCTGGCAACAGAGACCTCCTCGAGGCCAGCACCTCAAACCTCGCCCCCTCTTCCTACCCTCAGATCTCACGCGGCAAACAACAATACGTGCGGCATCGCCCAACATCGCCGCAGGAGCCCTGGACCCACCTTCCCGTGGCATGCTTCGAGCCAGATGTCGATCTGTGACGGCCCCCAGGGGCCGAGGCTGGGCGAAGACGCCCGTTGTGAGAAAGTTGCAGCGCCTGGACCTGCGGACTGTGGCCAGAACCAGTCTGCCCAGGGGGGTTATGGCAGGGGCCACATGTATGGGGGAGGGGGGAAGGCTTCTCAGAAGGAGGCTGCTTCTCACAAGGCGCGGGCAGTGTCTGTAGATGTAGGGCCAGCGCCTTGTCAGAAGCAGCCTCCTTCTGAGAATGCGTCCCCCCTCCCCCATACCCTCCCTACCCCTCCCACTGCCTGGAGGAACCAAAAGGTATCGATACAACTACATCCCGGACCTCCGCGTGGATTCGTTTTGACCAGAGTTGCGAGGCGACCCCAGCGGTGGCGACGCGGGCCTCCCAGGAGGCCCAAGAGGGGGAAAACCAGGGAAGGGTAGTACCTTCTCCTCCTCTGACCATCCTCCCGTGCTGTGACACCTCAGACCACAAGCTGACTCCAACGGCCGACCGACGACTGGCGGCCAGCCGGTGGGTGGCGAGCGCCCAAAGAGCGCCTCGCCCGCTCCGCGGCTTCTCTTATCCGCACGCGGGCGGCCTGCGGGCGCGCGGCGGGCATCGGGAGCCACCAAAGGGGCGGGGAGACCCTTTGGGGGGGCATAAGTTCAAACCGCTGTCGCACCGAACCTTCGCCAACAGATGTCCCCCGCATGCCCCACCGATCGGCAACTGTCGGGAGCTGCTGAACACCCCATGTATAAGCTCTTGCTTCCAGTAGATATTTGGAAAGGGAGCATGTTGTGCCCATCTCTGAGATTATATCTGGAGGGGAACTGTTTTGGGCGGCTCGGTGCAAGAACAGATCCAACTCGCGGGATCCCGAGAGTAGCCTTAGATCGGGCCTGTCCTCCTACAGACGGATTTTGGACGACAGAAATACTTACAAAATAATCCCCAGGCTATTTGTAAACTATGTTTGAATATTCCTCCTGCCGAGGTAGCCGCGGGCTCCCCGTTGGGGGGGCGGGGGCGGGGCGCACATCGGCGCCGGGCCGGGCGGGACCGGGGTGCGGCAAGCTCGCGCGGCGTCGGTGCGCGCAGAGGTGGGGAGCAACGACAGGGGGGGACTGGCATAGGGTTACCTTGTCATTGCACCGACCTTGCAGACATGCTGCAGCGGATTTTCGCGTGGACTTCTGCCAATGAAAGACCCCGAAACGGCGAGCGAAAAACGGAGTGAATTTCGCGTGGATGTTTTGTTGGTCTGCATTCCTGGCCAAAAGCATCCGCGCGAAATTCACCTCGAAATCCGGAACGAAATTCTCAAGGACAGGGCCCATCCCATCGTTTTCCGAATGATATCCGCTCTGCGATGTTGGCGCCAAAAGACCGAGGTTCGCTAGGGACGGGTTTCGCCCCGAAACAACGGAAGCCCTCCCACAACTCTCCTTAAACCGTCTCGAAGCCCTCCGAAAAGCCTCCAGGAACCCTTCGTTGTCGGAGGGTTTCGGAAAGTTTCTCTGCCGTTTTGCAAGGGAACCAGACCCTAGCAAACCCTGCATTTTCTAAACTTAAGAAGCACATCCCTGAAATAATTTCGATCTCCCAGGAAACTATCGAAGCAGCCTCTGCCCGACACGCTGGCGAGGTGTCGAACGAGCATCGCCTCCCAGGGCCCGAAACGCGAAAACCCTCAAATTTCTATATTTTGTTGGTGATCGAAAGTCTTTCTGGTGATAAAGGCAAAAGTAGGATGGAACATCAGAATCATGACATGAACTCGGCGATACATTATCGGTGGATCGGCGAGACCCCCCGATAGTGGATCCGCGCTTGCCTGGGCACGTTGGGGCTATCGGGCCCCTCTCGGCGAGCAATTGGCGATTGGGGGTCGATGCATCCCCCCATATGGCTATCCCCCCTTATCGTTGCCCCTGATCGGCGCGCGCACAGGTCCGTTCAGCCTTGAACCGATCGCGACCCCGATCGCTCAAGGTTGAATCCCGTCGGATCCAGTGGCGTGACCGTGCCCTCTGGCGCTTCCGCGTCGCAGAACTCAACCTGGAACGCCTTCGCTGGCGTCACTGGCGCGCCAACGCCGCATGAACATACGGTGCTCCAAATCTGAGCCCAAGAGAGCGTATCATGTTTCGCAGAAACGGTCGTTGCTGGCCCCGCCCGCCCCCCCACCCCCTCAGGTAGCGTCACGATTCGCGCTGGCCTCCGCGCTGTCATGGCTATTCCACAGCATTTCCACACGGCGCTGACGCGAAACGTGACGTTACCGATCGACCCCCCTCACCCCCCACCCCCGGCGACGCCCGTCATCGCCAGGATTTGCTGCTTCAACTTCAGATTGGTCAAAAACTCTAAAAAAGGTCATGCAAGTAAGGCACTGACTCGGATGTCTGGATACCTCGCGTGGCGCTCGTGCCCTGATCTGGCCTCCCTTGGGGCACCCTGGCACGGTTCACCACTTACGCTGCCACGGCGCCTGATCCGAATCGACCGAGATCGCCAAACAAATCGCCCAGGGAGGTGGGAGGAGGAGGAGCAGGAGGAGTGGGAGGAGGAGGCGGAGGAAAGAACCATGCGGCGGAAGAGACGCACGCGCGGCGAAAGGCAGCAGGCGCCCCCGGGAACCAGGAGGGAAGGTTGCCATCCGCAGGCCGGCGCCCATCCAGATCTCCGAGGGAAACCCCAGACGTGCGACGCCCTGCCGTTTCCCAACCACCCTGTGGTGTTGGGTCCTCGTCTTGAAGAGACAGCGCCCCGCGTTCTCCTCCTGCCTCCTCCCGCTGCCCCCTCCTCCCTCCTCCAGTCTCCTCCCGCCTCCCATCCACGCCTCTGCCCTCCGCTGTCCACCATGTCGGCATACCCCTCACACGTTTCATGTCCTCATAAGGAGCTCCACCGAAGGCCCCACTGACAGCGCCCGCATGCGTTTCCACCCTCGATGTCAGTGCACCCCTCACACGTTTCGTGGTTCCATCGGGAGTTCCATCTAAGGCCCCAGCGGCAGCGCCCGCATGAAATTCCACCCCAATTTCGGTGCACCCCTCACACGCTTCGTGACCTAATAGGGAGCCCCACCTAAGGCCCCAGTGGCAGCGCCCGCATGCAGTTCCACCCCAATTTCGGCACGCGAAATCGTCAGAAATCCACAAACAGAGAGCGTCATTCCTGAGTGATGAGGGCGCGGCGTCTGAATAAACGGCGAGAAAATCCTACGCGAGAGCGCGATTCCTTCATAAATTGTGAGGACGTCCCGCGCGAGAGCGCGACTTGGGAATGCATTGTAAGGAAGTATCAAGGCGGGAGCCGCTGTCGTTGTAAACCTGGGGCCAAGGACACAGCCTGGTGACACCTCACTGTCCTTCTTAAAAAACAGGGTGCGAGCCCCGGGAGGGGCAATTCAATTGAAAAATGCAATGGTTACTGGAGGGGATCAATCATATTTATTTTTCTAGAAGTGAAAACTCAACAGCAGCAGCAACAACAACAGCAGTAGCAACAACAACAACAACAACAACAACAACAACAACAACAACAACACCATCACCAATACCAACAACAACGACCGCAACCACAACCACAACCACAACAACAATCATTTCAAGACTGATCACTCTTATCTGATCGCGTGCCACTCAACAAATTTGTCCCACACCCTCGATAACCGCCCTCTTCATCTTTGATCGTACCCCCCTTGGAGGTATGTATCTTCCTTACCTGCAACGTGCATTTCGTGCAGCCCGTAAGGCACGGGAAGAGAGGACGGATGGAAGGAAGGGACAAGGGGTAGGGAGGAGGATAGAGCACGAGAGAGAGTAGCAGGAGGGGGACTGGGAACAGAAAACACGTGGCAGAACCAGACGGGCAGATCGGGCGGGTAGACCCTAACGGGCGGGTCGGGAAGGCGTGCCCAGGCGGCCAGGTCGAGCAGGCGGATTGCTGAAGCGTGCGCCCTGCATGAACCGCCAGGAAATCTCGAGCGACAGCGCGGTTCCCAAATAAATCGTGAGGAAATCCACAGCGAGGGAATGATTCCTGAGTTTCGAGGGCGCGGCGTCTGAATAAATTGCGAGGGAGTCCCACACGAGAGCGCGATTCCTGCATAAATTGTGAGGACGTCCCGCGCGAGAGCGCGATTCCTGCAGAAAGTATGAAGAAGTCCCGCACGAGAGCGCGATTTCGGAATAAAGTGTGAGCAAATATCAGGAGGGCCCAACAACACTGTTTGGTGACCCTTGACCTTCCTTTGTTAAAAACAGGGTGCGAACCCCAGGAAAATCACTTCTATTGAAACACACACAATGATTACCAGAGCGGGGAAACCACGATTATGTGTTAATCATGTCAAGTCAACAACAACAACAACAACAACAACAACAACAACAACAACAACAACAACAGCAACAGCAACAGCAACAGCAACAGCAACAGCAACAGCAACAGCAACAGCAACAGCAACAGCAACAGCAACAGCAACAGCAACAGCAACAGCAACAGCAGCAACAACAACAGCAACAGCAACAGCAACAGCAACAGCAACAACAGCCACAGCAACATCAACAACAAAAACAACATCAACAACAAAAAACGATGATGACGACGACGACGACGACGACGACGACGACGACGGTAACAGCATCAAAACAAAAACAACAAACATCAAAAAACACGTGTGACTACAAAAATAACAGCAAAAAATAAAGGCATTCGGGATCCGAGGCTTGGGATGGGGGGAAGACTCCTGCTGGGCTCTCCCGCCTCGGGTCCCGAGAACGTGTGATGCTGTTTCTGGTATTCTCAGATTTGGTTGAAGCATTGATGTGTTGAAGTGTCACAGGAAATTATAGCTGTCATGGAAAAGAACAATCAAATCCAACGGGGAAGCAATAATCCCTGTGACTCCCTCGATTAACAAAAACGCTTCGCGCGAAAGAAAGGGGCCCCTCCACCTCTAGTCCTACCTCTCGCTCTCATGTGTAGCTTGATATATATATATAATGTGTATGTATATATATATATATATACACGAATCAACGGGAAGCTGCAGGAACCAATTGACCGAATAGGAACCATAAGAAACAATGAGAATCACTATGAGCCGATAGGAAACAATGGAAATCGGGGGAGATCGATAGGGATCACTAGAAATCATCAGGAGTCAACGAGATCAAAAAGAATCAGCTGGAATCGGGACGAATCAATAGGAACCAATGGGAATCACAAAAGATCCATCGGAACAAATAGAACTCAATAGGAATTTACAAGAACCACTAGGAACCGGTACGAATCACGGAATCACACGATCCAGTAGGAATCAATAGGAATCAATAAAAAGCAATAGGAATGCTTGGGAATCACTGGGGGTGATTGGGAACGAATACGAAACAGTAGGAAGACACAGGAATCTATACCAACCCATGGGAAACAATGCGTACCAATAAGAACCAAAAGGCACCACCTGGGAAACCTCCGAAAGCAATCGGAACCACTAAGAATCATTAGGCAGCATTCGGAATCAATCAGAACCACTCAGGATCAATAAGAAGCACTTGGAATATATGTATATATATAAGAAACTATAGG